AGTTAGCAATATACAGTAAGCAATATACAGTAAGCAAGATACAATAAGCAACATACAGTAAGCAACATACAGTAAGCAACATACAGTAAGCAACATACAGTAAGCAACATACAGTAAGCAACATACAGTAAGCAACATATAGTAAGCAACATATAGTAAGCAACATACAGTAAGCAACATACAGTAAGCAATGACATACAACTACTAAGAAACGCTATAAAGTTATAGCTGTTATCTATTCCTTTCCTCCTTTCTCTCCATTAACAACATTTTTATCGTTTCAATTTTATATAAGAATATGTCTTAAATCTATAAACTGTATACAAAAACCATATATAAAACCAGGAACGATTCTATTCTTTCTTAACTAACTTTACCTAAACTTTTTATCGATCGCTTATATTAAAAAATATTCTKTAACAAGAACTCAAATACAAAAATACTGGCTATGAAATCTAAACAAATTTTGCCTTTTTCACGAACCATAGCTAATAGAGTTAACTATGTTCAAAAATTATACGAACGATTATATATCTTCAAAATGCTAAAATATTTTGGGTTTTTTTCTAAGGTTATGTATATCATATTGAGTATTATACTTTAAGTTAYATAATATCTTGATATAAATTCCTATAAAAATAATATATAAAGACAATAGAAAAATAGAAAAAAATGATCTTAACTGTTCTATTTTTTTTTCTTTTTTCATTCCAACATCTCCGAGTTTTTTCTAATCTGAAATCTTAACCAATTCCACGCTATCTAAATGAATGAGTGCAGCCTTGGAACAGGAAGAAGTTTACGTTTTACTGTAACCGGAACAGTGAACGATGCGGACCAATGAGGAAGCGACTGATCCATAGCTAAATATTGTTACCATTTTTCTCGCTTCTGATTGGCTCATTAAAACACAACGTGCAAAACACAGGAMAYTTTTTCAATTTCCCAAATGGGAACTTTGGGAAATTATTGGGAAATCACAACCCAAATTTGGAAAAATCTTGGGAATTTCAGAAAGGAATACAATTTTTTCCCAACCTTGGATTTTGTTGCATTTTTCCAATCATGAGAATTTATGTGAATTTCCCATAAAAGTCCCAGAAATTACCCAAAAATTTGCCAGAATGGGAATCATAARRAAATTTCCTGTGAAAGTTGGCGTCATGGATTATMAATTGTGGTTCGCCCTTTCGGAGTTCAGAGGTAGATTGGTAACGAACTCGTGGGGCTAAGGATTGTGGGACTGAATATTGGAATGCAAGTCGACGGACCCCACAGTCCTTTGCAACACAAGACGTTACCAATCTTCCTCTGAACTTTGAACTTCTTAGAGGCAAATTGGTCATTCCTAATAGTACTTTCATCAGTCCACACATCAACAAACTATTTGGGATTAGTTAACCTAATCTAGTTAATTTGCAGCGACGTGTTCTTCTTTGATTTCTGTTTGTTCCTCTGTTTCAATCTGTTTCTGTTGACTTTGTATCAGCCTTGGATTTTCCAGGAAGTTTTGCATAAAATTCTGAATTTCCCCCCGAGCTTCTGAAATATAACGTTGATAAATATTTTACTTTTGTTTACATAACTGTATTTCATTTGCATTATATCCTTGGGAATACAAGTATAAAATGTATCAGTCAAAGAGTATATAACATGCGCTGTCATTTTTGGTTGCAAATAGTCATCTTATTATAATGCGCGCTCTCATTAGTTGATAAGTTGATATACGTAACGCGATTTCATTGGCTAACTGGTGTACGTGATTACCTTGYAGTTTTCGTTCCGCTTCTCCTTTGGCCGTTCGTTCTTTATCCAGTTCTTTAATCAAAGAATCTATGTTAAGAAAGAACACAAAGCTATCGTCTAGTACRAGTAACAGAGTAACGAGTAACAAGACCTAGTTCCCTGAAACTTTCCGATCGGAAAGACACATACCAATTGCATTCTAACCGGATTTTCGGGTTTTTCCGGGTAAATGGTAAGCACCCCTGAATTTCGATATGTCTAGAAAAGAAGGGAGAGGAAAAAGGGAGGAAAAAGGGAGGAAAAAAGGGAGGAAAAAGGAAGGAAAAAGGGGGAAAAAGGGAGGAAAAAGGAAGGAAAAAGGGAGGAAAAAGG